TTAATGCAGTTAACATGTTAATGGCTTCCGCTTTCTTTCTTGATCATCACATCTCATTAAAAAAGAAGGATATGTCCGCGCAGTTCCCGAAGTTTTCTAATCCTTCGTTGGCTAAAATGGCAGCAATAGTAGTAAGAAGGGTTTCGCGAATTGCCGCCACCACTAAACCTGCTGGACTTAGCTACAGCACGGAGCTCGTTTTCTACATTTTATTCGATGTTTTTGGTGATGGGGATAGTTAGCTGGTCGTAAGTTCTACAAAGATGAAGTCGTGGCGAAAAGAGAACCTGGAAATGTGGATGCAGGTGAGTCGGTTGATCTTCACTGTCTTCCTTAGGGCCGCCTTGTTTATCGCCTATCTATCTCCATTTATTCCAATGGGTGCCAAAAGGGGTAATCGCCCTGCACTCCAGTGTCCACGGCTTTCCGAGTGACGTATAGAAGATTTCGCAGTAATCGAGTTCTAGATGGTCACCAGAAGTGGGCGTGCGTGTATATGTCCTGTCTTCGATGCGATTAAAAAGCGCGCCTTGATGTAGTCGGTTCTGCCAGAAGAAACTTTGTTGGTTTTGAATAATTGAACGGTAGCAGGCTTGCGTTATATCAGATAGTTTGACAGTTTTCGTCGGCGCCTAACCCTTTATGTCCTTTGCTTTGTTTCGTGTACGGTGAACGAAAATGACAGAAAATATTTGAGCCTGCGCAATCTATGCAACGACAAACGTTAATGGGCAGCTAGACTGGCTGACCCTCAAACACATGTGACCAGTGGAAAACTGCATAAAGACAGTGCATAAGTAAGTGCCTGTAAGTAATTCCTCTAAAGGCTTGATTTTCTTCGAAAATAGTCGCACTCAGATCTTGGGTAGAAGTAGTGAACTGTCGATGAATACGAAATCGTTCTAGATGATTGCCTTTGTAGTTATGACTCTGTGTTGTTGGATGCTACGATAACAAGATCCTGTTTTTAACCCTTGTTTCACACGTAGTAGCGACTGAGACTGCGCATTAAGTAAGGGAATATACTTGATGTATATCCCTTACTAAAAAAAATATTTAAAAAAAAAACTAAGGCTCGATGATAAAGTACGTTGAGCTCAAAACATGTAAGTCTGCACGAGGACATGAGTCATTTGGCGCCACGTACGTGCTAAAACAAACCATCAACTGAATAGAGAAAGTGACACATTCGAAAGCAAACACAAACAGAGGACTCTGTTTGTGTTTGTGTATCTCTGTTAACTTTTCATTTATATCTTGGTGTCTTTCCAGAAAATTATTACTAAAAATAATTTTCAGAGTATTGGTATACATAGGAAAGCTGGTAACGCGTTCTTACCGAGATATCTATATTCCTCGAAAATTTCAAATTTTATACATCCATATGTAACCTTCATGTGGTTTTTTCTTGAAGCAGATACTGTCCGACATATATGCCAGCTGCGCCAATATGCCAGGACAAGGGATAAAACTGAGGAGCAGGCTTGTCTTCGATGATGTCCGTCTTTTTTTTGTGTTTTTTGAAAAAAAAAAAGTACTATTGATGAAATTCTATTTGATTCTAGAACAACATGCATTCTGAAGTAGATAGATACCCCGTTTTCGTCTCAAAAAATTCAAAGAAAAACTCAGTGTTGCATAATAACCTAAAGGTTGGCAACGGTTAGGTGTTGGGTATCGATTCCACAGATGCACAAAGATCTGAGCAAAAGTAACGTTTGCCAAATCTTTGAAATACTGTACATATGGTTAGTAAATGATTTAACCTTGCTTTACATATATATATATATATATATATATATAGTGGTCTGTTTGATCATAGTATGAAAAAAGTATTGCCTCAAACTACCTAGCTATGACACTCGTCGTTTGTAAACATTATCTACATACCAGCCTCTAAAAGATAAGTGTATTTATTCAATATTTATAACGCTTTGACAGGATATATATCTTCAAGGACATAGCGATTTGATAAGATTGATTGTAGAATCTACTTGTAGGTTTTTTTCCAAAGTCTGGAAAAAATGATGCCAATACCTCTGCTATGAGATATGTGCCCATGATACATACGGTGGAGGCCAACCCTAAGCCCTATGTCAAGAAAAATAACGCCTACGTCGGTCGATGAAATGTAGAATTTGAGTCGTTTAGAAAATCACAGAATCTCATATACGAGATCTGAAAGTTGCCAACGCTGCTTTTGTCCAAAGTTGCGCAGTGTAGTCTTTTTTTCCCATGTGATTCTTAACTTCTTTCATGCTACTAGTGTAATTAGTGAACATACAATGTATATAGAAAGGCGCTATAATACACACGTGCTACGTTTGCTCACTCATATGATAAGGATTTTCTGCTGTTACATGCCCCTGTTGCTTTTAAATTGTTTCCTTGTGCCCTACCTTCAAACCAATTGAGATTTCTCAAACGACCACTATCCGAGGACTTCTATATGTTTAGACGACAACTACGGCCTCATAGTTATTTTGCGTATACGGATATCTGCGACAAGCCAGAGTCCACAGAAGCAGTCAGTTTAGTCTCACTAAAAATACACTGATTCGGTGTATGGAAGTCAATTGCATGCATCCTGACCCTAGCAGATCGTCACTATAGGGCCATAGTAATCCTACGAAAGCGAAATAATTCGTTGGCGCAGCACATGCCTCTATTATTGGGTAGTTTTTTCGATGTCCTTTTTTTGGCCTACTAGAACGAAGGAAAAATTCCTCAAAGTCCCGCCCGATCCAATGTGAAAGATACGACATGTCTTGCGATGGCGAACTGTGCGTAAACGCTCACTGCGATTGATATAGAAGAAATTCGATGAGTTTTGCCATTGATGGGTTCCGTTAGTTAAGGACCTTTTTGTTTTTTCGTAGTTCCATGGCAGCCGTTAATGAAAGCCGGACTCGTGTTACGGCCTTAGACTCGAAGGGCATCGGTCTGACGCAAATCTGTTGATATGGAAACGTCAAACATTGTCAAATATACGAACCGTCCTGAGAACGATGACTGTATTGGACTAGACAGCGATCCTCTCGTCCTGATCGAATCAGAGATTTCCGAGTTCTTCGCTATTCTTTCGGCTCATCTTCGTAGATAGATACTTTGCTACCCCGTATCAGTGCTTTTAATTGCTAAAAATACTGGCATGCATCATATAATTACCACCGGTATCACAATATATCTATATCCTGATAACGTTGTAGAGGAAAAAAATTGTAAATTGTTGGAATCTCCTAGAAAAAGTAAGACCAGAGATATGGACAAGGTTCCGAAGCCGAAATTAATTCATGTGAACTGAGTAACGACAAACAAAATTACCTTGAATTACAGAAGATAATTACTTTCGTCAAGCAGGTAAAAATTGCCAAGGGAAATATCTAAATATAATGAAAATTCCTTCACGCAAACGAGACGATCACTTCTACAAAACTTTTCTATTAAATGTATGAAAATTGCACCTGTTACGCATACAATCTGAAAAGCTAGAGATATTCTTGTCATATTTTCTCGATTATAGTTGTCCCCATTAGGCAATAAAAAGAAACTCGCTTTTAGAAGATTAGAAGATAAGCAATAACAAGGTGAAGAACAAACACACCTGACCTGGTCTGCGTGAACCTGGCCTAAATACTTGAAAACGTGTCAAACAGCACAAAAACATACCACCGCTTCACTTGGATCGCACGAACGGTCTTCGTGATGCCTAAAAATATTACGAATCAATGAGAACCGTATTGCGTTTGGTAGAAGATCTGCAATTTCTCCAAAGCCGTAATCAAGCAACCAAATAGTCAGGTCGCTGCATTTGAGCGCGCTCCATATAATAAGAATTAGAATATATGGTACTCTGTCAAACTGCGGAGCAGGTGCTCAGTCAACAGTTCAAATATCCAATGAATCTATTCACTATACCTACCCGTGATAACGAAAAATGTCCAGGATATTGTTGAGCAACATCTACCTAAGTCAATCTCAAGAAGGCAGACGCTCAAAGAGCGATAGACTAAAGAATAGATAGCATTCGTAGAGTATCGACCTAGATACTCGTTAAGGACGTGAGAAATCGAGTCATGTGATTTGATTTTATGGTATTTTGTTGATAACGATAGCAAGAAAAATTGTTGCTTAGCCAGCCTTTCCAGTACGGGCTGCATCATCGTTCCTTTTCAGTTACCTTTCACATAAAGCTAATGTCTATAACGTAGTCAACTTACTCCTATTCAAGGGTGCATACGTTAATGTTCAATGATGACGGGATGACACTGGTGGTAAGTGAGCCATCCTCAAACCTACCTCGTCATAGACGAGGGATTAAATTTCGACTTACCAAACTTCCGTAGCGTAACTTTAATTACATCTCGGATTGGTCATATTGTTGACTTGCGTCAAAGGAATCGGAGCGCAGATGTGTCAACATCAATTTTATTATAGAGTTTTACTTAAAAGTGAGATAACATCTATTCAATTTCTTTTGGTTAACTAATCTATCTGACGGGCTCAACTGGATGAATAAGTAAGGTCTCGCTACAATGGGCCTGTTTTCGATTCAGGCACGTCTAACTGACGTTGGCCCAAAGCTAAGGTCGAAGGCCGATGCCAACGTGTTAGTTCTGTTCTCAAAATTAAACTATGAACGTCGATAGGACGTTATTCAAAGGCCGACCAGAAACTGTTGTATTAAACTGTCTAGTCGAAGTGTGTACTACTTGAGTAGTTCGTTAGATATATTTTCCGTTATCAAATCCAAGTAAATGTCGTCTATGTAATAGATATTACTTTCTACTTACTTTTTCATATCTGGAATTGCAATCTTCAGATGACGCACCGAAAAATCCGAAACGGAGAACCTAAGCCAAAGTCCCTAAAATTTATTAACACTAAATCTACAAACCGATTTTTAGTAATAATTCATTTTGTATTAGGATTACTCTCATTTTATATCTTCGTGCCTCCTATTTGTTCTTGCCTACCTAGATAATAACAACACAATAACGACCTTTGTTGTTTGAACACAGGCATCAGTGTTATTCTTTGTTGTCCATGGATGTCGTAATACGTTGTCTTCTTTTTTAATTGTTGTTTCTTTGGCACGGAAATATTTACAAAGGAAATCAAATACTCTGGCGGGAAATGCGTCAGTAGGATAATAGTAAGTTGAATGTTTTTTTTTTCTAGTTAAGGTTTTTTTCGGTTTGATTGCTAGCTGATTTGCCAGCACCGTCGACCGGGTGCATGTGACCGTAGTAACTGTCGTTTCTTCAATCTATCTCTTAATTTTGCTCTGACAATCAGTTGATCAGCTTGGTTAGCAGTCACGTCGTCTACCTTTCCTATTACAGGTTACGGGAAATCTGAAAGTAGATGGAGCTGATTCGGGATGGTTCATCTCGGCTAGGAGGTCGGTGTGTATGTACAGCCTGTTGGAAGCTGGCACAAGGTATCTGCCTCTGTTTCTTGCGGGGTCTCGGTAGCAGGGTAGAGGTTCTGAGAGGCGTTAGAAGTATTAACGATATATCTAGCGACAAACTAGCGATAACTATTTGAGTTTGGGTTACGAGCCATCTTGCATAGGCACGAATTGTCACAAACTTTCGAGTGGCCCCCTGTTCCAACCGCGGAGGTGCTGATTTTACTATACGTTTGCCCCACTAATCGTTAATCATCCACGAACCATCTATGAGCTGTTTAGTCATGCTAGGTTTCTGCAACAAATGTTCATTCGATCGAATGTGTAACATTAAAATTATTTTGTCATTATGATTATCTCTATTCAATTCCTATGATTTTTCTATCTTGAGAAATATTCCAAGGTACCATGTGTCCAGGGGCCAATTTTGGTTCCGTGTAAGGTACTATTAAGACGGTATGCAACGAAAGACCTAGTCATATTGTAGATTCCGCAGTCTATTTCCATCGTCCAGCATAGGTCCCTTAATACAAAGGCCTTCTTTTAGGCTCAGACTACTGGTCAGTGGCCTGTTACGTGACGTATTACATGAGCTCGAAACTTACGATTAGTTAGCAACCCAACTTTCACCATATTTCGGGCAGTTGACCCATTAATCTTTAGTGGCTGGCCACTCGAAGTTGTTATCACCATTTTCAACAGTTATGTGCACCTTAATTATTGTCTCCCCGCTAACCTCCATCGCTACCGCCGTTAACAATCTCATAACGTGAGCTCTCTCGACCTTTATTTTCAGAGAGAACAGAAAATCTCACAGCGAGCATGAACTTCCCTTGATAGTAATCTATCATATATATAGCCGCATCAAAAAAGAGCATTATATTTATATATCATATCTAGTGTGTATATATATATATATATATATATATATACCATGATCATTTGTCGCTGGCGCTTCAGCAAATCGGTACCCTCCTGTTCCATGTATATATATATATACACACACACTCGTTACTAACTATGCATATATATTCATATATCTGCAGCCATCCCATCAGAATTCTGATGAGAATGCGTTTCAGTACTGCCGATGCTGCTGAGATCTGTTGTTTTTATCTCAGTCATTTAGTCAATTGCTAAGGAGCATATTTATATAGAAATCACCAATCGTATGATCGTTTCAGGTTAGTCTGCTAACGTTGTTATCCGAAAGAAGCTATTGTTAATGATGAGTGTGATTTACGGATCTGACGATGATCTTGCATGCTTTACATATGGGGAGAATTTTTGGTTTGTTCGTATATTTTTTACTGTTGATAGTTTACAGAGAGGACATTGAATCGCTAGTATTGGTTGCCTTTCACACAGTGACACCTGCCAGAAGTCGAAGCTATCGCGATCCCTTCAAGGTCCGCCGTATCAGATACATTGATACAGTATGAACTAATAGTTTACAACAATGAACCAATCGGCCACACGTCGCGCCGTCATAGAGCGCGTGCATTGTAAATTCGAAGAATGGACGAAGAAAACCCAGATCTAGCATTACAGATTGGGTCGTATTGCTTGCAGAAGCAAAAAACTCGTGTCGCGAGCTATACTCTTATTTTCATCTAACTTGAAACAAGTCAGCGAATTCGCCGCACTGAGAAAACGAAGCTTCGTTTGGCGCTCTTAATATCGGCTTGTTCTGGACCTTGTTGTTAAGCCTGACCTTAAAAAGAATAGAATAATACACATTTGGTCAGCGTTGGCGAACCACCTCTCCACTGCACGCACCATTTTAAGTATATTGTACGCAGTCATATATTCCTTACTATCTTGATTTTTGTTTTCCCCTTTCAAGTCTGTAATAATTTCTTTTATACCCATCCACTGATTGGTTCGCTACTGCGCTAGTTGATTGTCATCGGTCGATCGAAGTTGTATAACTAATTGGATTGTAAGCGTTTTTTGCTTGGCCTTATTTCGGTGACTCATTGTATTTAGGTCGATTCGTATCCTGTCGTTGTCCTTCGACTCCTTTATCTGCTTATTCGAATCGTTTCGCCTTGTTTATCACCATGTCATGTCCACTCTTTTACCTCCGTCTTTATTCGTTTTGTATTCAATTTAGGTACGAGGATTTTTTCTTATTTCGAATAGGTTTTTACCTTATTAGCAATCCTTATCAACTCAAGTTGATGAGTTATGCCAGGACAGCATCACCAGTGACAGGGTGGCGTTCGCTCAATTGTTCAAATGCCCGCAATGTAATTTTCCGATCCATGAATGTTTACTATAGGCGGGACGAACAAGTTAAGGTAAAACTTCTAATAATAGAAATAATAGATGTCCTACACCGAGTCTGTGAATCGAGACTACCTGTTCCTAAGTGACCTGTTCCAGCCGCGAATCTCAAATGCGTACACTGTTATTCACTGTTACGGTACACGTATACGCAGACAGCGGGGCGCTTCATTATTATCATCATTGCTTTATGAAGATATAGCCAGTCGCTGGTAGCGTTTCACTCGAGCCAAAAAGAGATGACAGCAGTGGATCCCTATGAAAAATAGTATCCTTTTACGTATCTGACGTTCACCGTGTCCTTCAGCTTGATCGATAGTAGAAACCGGATTAGATTCTAATCGTTTCTAATTCGGAAGCTTTGTTTGCTTAATCGTACTGCGCTTAGTTACACAGGTTTCAGCCGAAAACTTATGCCACCTAGCTTCATTGGCCATAGTGGTACGACGTCGTTCTCAGATTTGGTTCATTAGAAGGTGCCTAGAAGTGACAGTACGAAAGTAATTAATCTGCATGTAACACTTTGTCGGCTTGAAGATGTTGAAAAGATACCATAAATTCACGTTTTCCATGGTCTGCAGGTAACGGGCGATTTCATCGGGCAGCAAACACTATAGTCTAACGCGATTCACACAAGGCTTTGTCTGTGCGCGAAGTCCTTGTTCCCAAAAGTACCTTATGCACGTTCGGCATGCATCCACTAGTTGGCGTGCGTGCCTTTTGCTTTGCTGCCGACTGTCTGACTGGCGGCCGCCCGAATGGGCAAAGATGTCTTCTCTCTAAAGACAGGACTCGCAAAAGCGAGCCGCCATTCCTTACTTCTGCCACGTTCACCGGGCGAAGCATCCCACGTGCATACCTAAATATTGCTGTTTCATACAATTTGGCAGGCGACCATTCCCATACTTCCTGTTTGTTTGATTTGCATTCGTTTGGCGCGTTGGTACGACTTTGGTGTCCACTCTTGCTACTTCCGTTCGATTCCGTTTGTCTATGGACGGGACTAACTAACTTAAGATTCATTGGATATTAGCTCATACTTGTAGCAGTGGTATTTCTGATATTGTTAAGTAAGACGAGCGATTCGTAAGCGAGACTACGTATCATTGTCGTTCGCTTTGGGTTCATTTTTTTCGTCTTCTTTGCGTCCTCTTTTCTTGCTTGCTAGATCTTTTTTGCTGTTTCCTTTAAATGTATCGTTGCCTGTCTGTCTTTCGTTTTAACTTTTTCCATATCTTCGTCATGCCATTGTCATCCTTTTCATGCCTTTCATTCTTCTACGACATTGACTTTATACGGCAGTGTGGTTCTTTGGTAAATCGAAGACAAAGTAGTTGACATCTTCGTCTTCAAGGCTCAGCGGCTCGTAAGGCCCGTTACTCCTCAAGCTGCTGGAGGGTTGTTCCTCGGGACCGTGGGTGGCGATTGGGGTAATGGTGACATGGGCCGAAGCCCGGGAAGAGCTGACAGCCGAATTCAGCATTTTCGGCTCAATCACGTGCATCATCGGCTTGGCACCTAACTCGCCCAGCAATGAACTAGGCATCAGGAATGAGGACACGCTATTGTGGAGTTTATGGTCACGGAGGGTGTAGCTCCGGTAGCTCTTTATGAGGAGGAAGACGGCCACGGCCAGAACAATCAACGAAGCTAAGGCCGCCGACACGCCCGTTGTATAGTCGCCACGTACGCACCCTACAAGCCACACATAGAGTTAAAGACAAATTAGTATAGAAACGCAGAAAAGCACAACAAAGTATACGATACGCGTTAGTGGGAAGCGAAGATAGAGTGCGAGAGAAAGTTAGGAAATTAAAGAATATGGCCAGTTCAATCGATCCGTATACTTTAGGTCCGAATAAACGTGTGTTGGCTCGTACTGAATAGGCTAAGCAAAAGACTGACTGAACGAGACTAGGCAAAACACTAATTAGCGTTTTCTGGCGGAGGGTTTACAGTACAGCGATATATACCCTGATTCCAAATCCCGCTACGTTCTAAATCTACATTTAGGACAAAAGGACCCTGCACAAAGATGACTCCGCGTTGAACGACCCTTTCGTTATGTTACACTATTCCTGTACCTCTAGCACGATACTTCTATAGGTCTAATTCAATCAGGCAAACGAAATTAGGGGGGTAACGGGGCTAAACGCGTGGATTACAGGCTTTCGGAAAATCTCATCGCAAAGATGTCATCCGATATAAACAAATAACACAAGGGAATTCACGCAAATTCACTGTGCACGCACAGGTAGGCGTCAGTTGTGAGAGGATTACTTGTACGAGAAGTATTTAGTGTGAAGGAGGAGCGCTGACAATTGGTGATGCGAAAGTGCAAGAGGAGCAATAGAGATTGCGAACGAAACTAATTGCTTTCGAAAGCGCAGCCACAACCATACATACGCAACATACATAACTAGAGCCCCTTAAATTGCAAGCCCCTTAAATTTGTAACGAGAAGCACTGCATTGGAAATGCAGCCGCTAGGAAATACCCCCCCCCCCCCCCTCAGAGTTTATTAAATGGTATATGCTCATAGCGTCTGTGAGAGCTATAATCTAAATTTGGTAACAATAAAAAACACTCTTGAAAAGATTTCTGCTAATCAAATAGTAGGTGATTTTTAGGTGAACGTAATCTTTTCTTAAGACACTTCTTTCGTACCCTTAAGTGTTAATTAAAAATACAATACTTAGGAAATATAAACTGGATGGATATTTAAATTTAGAAAAAAAAGAGGCTTACTACAGAAAATGGTGAGTTAATCAAATCAAGTACTGCCATATATCATCTGACCCTCTAAACACCCATCAGATCAAAAATGGAGCTCTAAATATCGCTACCTATCGGAACTTGAAGCTCGACCACCATAAAAAGACGGCGACGATCAAGTAGGTTAACATGGCTAGGCGCGCTTACCTAGCCAGCTATAGTGACATGACACTTGCGGGTAATGTCAGCAGCAAGGCGAAACTCGCGTTGCCTGTTCCCGTCAATTCGTTTGCCATGCATGTGTTCTAGGGTGCCAGGCCCCTATTTGGTGAGCTCTTGTTCGAGTAGTAACGCTCTATTACAAGGGGAGTCATCTTTAGAACTCTCTAGAGCCCTCCTAATAGTCTCTGTTTTCTACAGGAGCCGTTCGCTATAGAAACTCCCGCCTCAAATAGCCATTTTCTTCCCCTTCTGTGGTCTTCAAAGCAAGGAGCTCATACTTTTGCAGAGTCACTCCAAACACAACCTAACATAGGCTTCAGTGGGTAATTTAGCTTTTTCTCTCTTCCTCTTTCTCTCTCTCTATCTCTATTTCTCTCTTCAGAAGCCGTTTTCTCTATCGGAAACGTTTGAAAGCCTCCCCTGCCATGATATGACTTGACCCTGCGACTCGACACTTCCAACGTCACCTGTCATCGCTGTGAACCTAATCACCCTTACCATGACAGCTTTCAAGGGCGTGTAACTTGGCAAACTGGGCGTGGGCAGTCTCCACAGTAAGTTGCTGGGTGCGGATCTGCTCGTGGCCAAAAAGGCTGACCCACACATGGTAAACGCTGTTGCGCTCCACTGAAATCGACGTATTAGTAGAACATGTCAACAGGTCACCTAAAAATAAAAAAAGATGAGGAAAACAAATAGAAAAAGGAAAAATTGCACATGAAACAAGTTAACTTATATGTGAATGAACGCAAGCTCGACTTTTGGTTAAGTTTTAACCAGGCAAAGAATATATGCAGTGAGAAAGAATGCTCATTTGAATGTGTCCTGCTGGAAGCTCCACAGGCAACGCAGGTCGAGGCGAGCATCATCTTCAGCGACAAGCGCCAGCCAAGTTGTCCATAAAGAATGGTACAGTCAGCCACTGACGGTGGAACATGAGATGAACGTAACAAGTCAATGCTGATCGCACTATGTAATATGTCCTCTCTCTTTTGTTTTGCCTGATTCTCTGTCAGACTTTCGTATCTCTCATGCAATCGATAGCGTCGATGAACTGGTCCTGAAACATCGACATTGGTCGTTACTCAGAGCCACCGCTTTAGTTTAGGTACCAGTCAGAAGGCGCTGGAGGAGTTGCGACAGCCGAACACCACCAGCGAATTACTAGCCGGCGCTAACCATTTGTCATGCCTAATCGGATCGCTAAAACGAGAGATGCAGATGAGCAAAAGCAATGGCTTTTAGGGCTATACAAAAACGACAACGGGTAAGAAGATACAGGAAAAATGCGCGAAAGAATGAATAGAAGGAAAACTGGCTACGCGGATCGAGGTGAGCTATTTTGATCGATTGCAGTAGTAACAATAGCGGAGGCATCCATCGATATATGTGTATATATATATATATATATATATATATATATATACACATATATGTGTGTGTATATGTATATATATATATAGGCAGACGGTGGATCCTGTAGGGGTCACAAGGCCATCATTACTGAAGCAAACAATCTATGCCGTGAACTTAATGAGCTTGGACAAGTGGACTAGGGATGCATTCGATGCTCTTAAATGTGAAAGCCGAGCCTGTAGAATTAATTAATGAAGATCCAGGTTATTACGGGTGAAATGATAAAAAAATAGTTTGATTTAATGAGTAAATGAATCTTGAGGTGGGGTTTAACACTTCGTTTAAACGTGCTTCCGCCATTTTCTAGCAGATGAGCGCATAAAGTAATTAGACGACGCCAATGATATGATTAGGATAACCTTCCTGAGCTAAAGAAGTATTTCGTTCAACAAACATATTTGTTCGGCCAAATTTTATAAATATACATAACATTTCAATACCTTCTAATTTTAATCTTTTCCGTTAAGCAGCAGAATAATTTGGTATTGTACTCTAAAATAATAATTAATTGGTAATTGGTAATTATACTCTAAAAAAACTTCGTTCTTATTGTGAGGCCCATCATCTTCGGAGACATAGAAGCAAGGTTTTCGCTTAACCAATGCTTAAGGCATAGAATTCCGGGGCTTTTCACTGTGCTCATATGCTGTGTATATTCTTTAAGAAACAAAAATATATACATCTATATGTATATGTACTTTGTAAGACTGGTGCAACTCTCCATTGCTCTGTCAAGGATAGGTTGAGCGGAAGTAGGCTTAATAAAGACCGCGTTAGCTGTTGCAGTAACCGCATTGTCGGAACAAGAAACCGGATTTTTTTTTTTTTTTTGAACTTCCAAGATAAATATTACGCTTTAGCACAAGTCCGGATGTTTGCCAATACCTCGCCATAAGTTAAATGAAAGAGCAGGTTTTAACAGATCTAGGTGCTTCTATTTAGCTTAGCCGTCCTAGCTTAAAGTAAAGAATGTTTATGACACTGAATTAAAGGACTGAAATCTACCTTTACACCGGGTAATAGACCTGTTCATCACATTGACAAACTAGACAAAAGGGGGTTGTTATTTCGACTAACCGGCTAAAATCAGCGGTTGCTTCTAACCGAATTACTTTTCCGAGTAAAAAATGAAAATAGTAATTAGAAAAAAGATCACAGCGTAGCCTTTATCTGCTTTCTTTGCCCTTGACAGGCGCTGGTAATTGAACTTCTATTGTAGCTAGTCAAAGTATACGTCCTTTTTGCCCCTCGTATTTGCTTTAAGCAGGCTATATATTCAGCCTGCTTTTTGCTTAACCTAGCTTAATTTTCGTTTGCCTCGAATCTCCCTTTAAGTCGGTGCCGTTTTGAGTTCCCATACGTCTTTTACCTTTTCCTCGTTGTAACTTCGTTTTCTTTAAATAGAAACTGAGTTTGCGTTTAAGCTATCATCAGAGGGTTCTGGTTTTCATACCACCCGTCCCCGATGCAGCCCCTATCATCAGACTTTGAAGAATCTAAATTCAGTAATACAATTTGCTCGTTTGTCTCGAGAAATCGTTCATAATTTCAAGAATACAGAAGTCTATTAACAAATATACCTGAGTGAATCCTATAATAGAGCAACAGCTCTAACCCTAACTTGGCTTTTCTAAGCCTATCAAGAACTCACCATACTAAGGGAAAGTCCGATTACTTCCACCGATCTTAGGTACATGATGAACTCTGGCGTCTTTTTATTAAATATCCAATTAATTCTGTTCCTACACCTTATTCTTCAGAAAAAAATAAGATCGTAGACACAGCAATTTCAAGCAAGTAAGGAAATGACCTTAAATGATCTAGTTATTCTATAAAAAAGAAGCTTTATGATGTGAGCGGGAAGGCTGATAAAAGTCGTTCCGATTGGCAAAAAACGCTGTTACATGATGGACAAGAACAACCCCCTCACAGAAAATTCTTCCACGGAGTCGCTTGAACTGGAAGGACAAGGTCAACATGGCTGGCTATCTTAAGAAAAAATTAGCCAATGACCAACCCGCGATGACCGAAGAAGTCTGCGGACACACACATAGCATCTGTTGTTTACAAAAAATAAATAGACGTGTGTATTTTCGAAAGTAATTTGGTACATTTGTACTGATAAGGAAGCAGCGATGTTATTTTGTGCACAATAATAACGTTAGATATACGTCTCCAGTTAAATTAAAGATGGACGCACTAGATCGCAAAAGGACATGATATGCTGTCATTGCTATCTTGCGACTGAAATCTTAAGTATCAGCTTCATAGAATTTACAAGCTGAAGGCCGCAGGCCAACACAGTGTTGCAGTTACCACATGTTTAAGTTATGCAGTGCAACTATGTTTTAGAGACGAAACGCATTTAAAATTCAAATAAAGTCCATCACAACATATTTTAGTCCTATTGTGTACAGAGGAAAAACTCTGACCAAAGGTAACATATTAGTGATATTCTTGTCCGTCTCGAGCGGACGGACTAGTCTAACCTGAACATTTTAAGTTTTGCGTTCGACACTGCCATTTGGCATTGTTTCAGGCGGCTGGCTTCCAGCACAAAAGGAAGTCTGTCTGCGCATCTCTCTACGTTTCCTGTTTTACGTCCCGTATCGTCGTTAGGCAATCCATCAGAGACACGGCCAGCTTTCTCTATGTGTGGAGTTGAACCTAGATTATAACGTGTCCCTAAGATTAGCACGCAAAATCATTACCTGCTAAGCTAGCACGGGACGCGCTCGGATTAGTCTACCACGACTGAACTTTTTTCCCTGGTTCGATTGTTCATTTCCACCCAACAATGAGGATATAAAAAAATTCCAAATGCGTCCCTATCCGAATAATATCAATATTAGAACAAAAAGATCCAACACGTTGCAATGAAAACCTTTCTCGGAGCTTACATCTCCCTATTTATATAAAAGAGTAATAACAAAGGAAGGTAATAAAAGCTTGCCATGCTATCTTTTCTCCGCAGGCAGTCATCTATAGACATAATTCGCTCATGGGGTTATCTCACTTTTGTAGCCACAGCAACAAGCAGAACCCTACGACCCGACCTCACTCACCTGCAACCTTGTCTACTATTGCGGCCTTCCATGTAACTTTGTATTTTGTGCACGAACCATCTTCTGACGAGTTTACAAACGGATCCCAACGAATGGCCGCCTTGAGCACCTCGGAGGATAAGCCGACTTTTCCATCTATCAAATGTGGATCCGCAGTAGCTCCGATGCCCGCTCCGGTCAGACCGTTACTGGCTAGCGACAAATGAGTACCGGGTCCCTGATGGATGGCATAATTGGTTGGACGAGGTCTCGACAGACTGATCAGCACCGGTGCAGGAAATAGTTCGAGCTGCGACGTAAATGTGTTGCTAACCTTGTGAGTAATCCCGGGTGTGACAGAGACCGTCTTGTTTCCGCTAGCACCCTCAGAATCGCTCGAGTTATTCCCAGCGTCGATGGACGCTTCGGCATTGGACGCTGTGAATGTGGCGATGGCGACGTCGCTGGCGTTGATCAGCACATGGCGATTCTCGAAATTGATGCTTGTGGCGTTTCCCAAGGCGAAGCCAGACTGCGGCGCACTCTGGTCACCGCTGTAACGGAGTCCGTTAGAGTCACGAGATCTTTCCTCTGAGCCGATTATGTCGGTCTGGCCTGTAGCGGACGAGGCCTGCTCATTGTTATTGCTGCGGTTGTTGTGGGATCCTGTCAAGGTAAAATGACTGTCGGAAATGTTGTAACGTTTGTGCAGGTCGGTGACGTGAATGCTACTTATGATCGGTGGCTGTGGGTAGAAGGAGAAGAAAAAACAAAAAAAAAATAGATGCAAGAATAGATTAGTTATACTTAAAGCTGTACGTGCATTAGATGATTCATATGCAGCAGTTAAAATCGTGAGCATAGGGACGACCCAAATGCATTCATACTATGTCTTTTGTAAAAATTATCGCAATAAATCTGACTGTTCTCATTATTTGAACACAAATGCGAAAGGGTTAGAACGTGTTTGACAATGGTTAGCTTAATGAAAAGCTTAGCTGTCAGCTTGACAGTTATAATGAATCCAGATATTGTCCAACATATCATATATATATATATATATATTGACGAAGGACAATGCATCGATAAGAAAAGGCACAATTAAATTAGAACTCAGGTTCGGTAATTGACATTGGTCAAAGGCAAACTCGTCTTGCGCGTCCCGAGAGATTGACGTTTTAGCTAATGGGCCTGGACGACGGTGCGTCAGGAAAGCCTTTGCACAAAAATCGACATAGGTGATGTCCTAGCTATTTTTAAATAGAAAAAAAATGATGTTCAAATGATTTCGGGTTGCGAACGCGTAGACGGTTAACTTGTTCGAGATGGATTAATTGTCCCAATCAAATAGCATCATTTTCTACCATTCCAAATATATAACTACGTTATAATAGTGGAAGGATACTATAGGATATAGTGGATAATAGTGGATATACGTATATTACGAAAGGTAGGCAATCGTTACTCGTTATCGCAAATACAGTAAACAGAAAGTGAGTTCCTTTTTCTTGAACGTAGAATATAGACCGGAAAAACAGGTTTTTTTTTTTTTTTTTTAAAAAAATACGCCCTTTCACGCCGATATGTGCTTCAAATGAAAGAGACTTAAATAACCCAATCGAAGATTAAAAAAAAAACGAAAGTTGAAGGAAGTTATCAAAGCTGATGGCACAACAGCGGCTGCGGAAGCCCGAAGTTGATCAGAATTTGAGTTTTCGAATGCCTCCGGCGTTCCGTCCGGACTAAACCAGCAAGTCGTCCGTTTCAAGCAATCACCACTGTTTGTCTGTCTCATTGGGCGCAAATATTGCCCTCTTCTTTTCGAACAAGCGTAACAGGCCATCTCTACACGAGAACAAATCTGTTACAATTTAGCCAACGATAGTAAAGGCCTATCTATCGTTAGCCAGCCAACTTTCCTTCGACTTCATGTTTCAGTCCTTCGTTATCTTTTTTTTCCCCGTAATCGGTTACGCGAGAGTCGTATCGATTTAATATGTTTCATCCCGTGTTCATTTCATGATGAGTGTAAATGAAGGGAATATATACATTCTATGACTATAATTCCGTGTAGCTCATGTTAAGGCGTACACTACATTTCTGTTCTTGACCATCAGCTACGCCCTATGCGTGACCAAGTTTTAGGAATCAGAGGGTTTTCTCCCCCTAGAAATCTAGTTGGAGCGGGAATTTATCTGGGGTATTTTGTTACGTACTTGAACCATCGCATCCGTATCTTCGATAGCTTATCTTGCAGGCATTAGAATAACAGGTAATAATAGGTGATGCAGAGCGTTGAAAAGATATTAATAAAAAGTAGAATAAAAAGGAATAATAGGATAATTTTTCAAGTAAGTTGTTCAAGTTAGTTATTAAGCTGGGTCGTATAGTTAAACAAATTAGACGAAATAAATATGCTGCCCGCGCTCGTTCATCCACAGAAGCAACATTTGACTTTCTGTTCTAGTTGCACTGGTATAATTTTTTATTACTTTTCATCATAAATGCGATTTTGCAGAAACTTAACGGATCTGTAACGATGTTGATACATCTAGCATTAATTTCGAACGCTGTCCGGGATGAAGCACAAATGCTGAAGACTATCTTGAAAACATGATTAACACGTCTTGTACATCTCGATCTATTCAGTTTATTACGGATAAGATCGAACAGTGGGCCTGGGATCTTCCTTTAACTCGAACTTTATACACAACGTTGTATTTGGATATAGGATTTGTTTCGAGGAGTTACATACAGTATCATTGTCCATACTTACATGATGATGCGCTCCAACAGAGTGGCATCGATTTGTGTGACGCTTTAAGTGCTCGGTGTGGACGTTCAGTAACGAGATCTTCTTCTCCGAGTCGACGGTTGCCAGGCGGATCGTGCAGAATTTGTCCAGGTACGTATCATCTATGGTGATGTTTCGGTAGTATGTCTAGAACGAGAATAAGACGCAATTACATATATAGTAGTGGGTTTTGTTAGTGAACATAAAAATAGATAAGACCAATAAAGGTATAGCCTGGACATAGCGCTTACACGAGTTCAAGCAGCCATTCACCAATAGGAGATCATAGTTATACTACTACCGGCTTTACATTTTAGACTAAATGAATAAGTCTATTGCAAGGAACCTACTACAATTGTTTAAGTACGATACACTTCAGCCATCTATAGAGACTATAGTCACAAACAGTAGGACTAAAAACAGTATCGATGCTACTTGCTTAATGGAACTTGGGGCAACCAACAACAATGTTATTAGACATGTTTTTATTTTCCTACACTATATTCGAGTGTCTATGGCATATTTTCATTGTCTCAGAGTCTGCGCAATAACTTGTTTGATCACTGTCGAAAGCAAGTGTTCGCCTATTTTTCTCCCTTGTCAGCGGCTGATCTATGTATTTCCACAAGGCATAACGTAGTGCATAGGACTGTCATTTGTTGTTATTTTACGGATGTTACAGAATATAAGTATAATTATTTCTACACGTTTTCTTAAACAGGGTTAGGAACGTTTTTTTTCCCCACAGCGTCCTTATCTACGTGAGACAATTCTTCTCTATGCTCCTTAATGCGGGAGATTTCGTCCTAGCAAATAACTGCTGATGGAAATCTTGCAGTTGCGTTCAGGCCCAGCGCGTTTCCTTCTCTCGGTGTGTGTTAAATATGTGAAGACAAGTTGCCCCTGACATTGGCGTTCTGCAACGGCACTTTCAAGGATGCTGGACAAGGAGAAACGATTATTTGATCTGTGGCAAGGGAGGGGCCATTCGGTGTCAGAAGCCTGCTAGGATTTTAGAGATAGCCCCGTTGTAGCTCAAAAGGTAACGTATCTTAGGGACATCTTGAGGCCTAGATTCGAACCCGGGTATAGACAGGCATCGTTTCGTGCCGAAAGCCGGCCGTCTGTCCGATGAAATGCCTAACGGCTATGTAAGACATAAAACTCGAAACATAAAGGATCTTTGAGGTAGGCCTGCTTTTCGCCACCGAGCTCTCTCTATTTTTTCTCACGTCTCGATATTCGTAAGACAAAATTATTTGTTTGCCAAACATAGATGCCGGATCGTCAACAACCGTTGGCGGCTGAGAAACTCGCTGAAGATTGAAATGCCACCCGCGTCTGCCCTGCCGTCAACTTTTCATGACGCCGCGTTTCATAACAGCTCTATGAATGTGAACTGCACGTGACACAGACACATATGATGATGCATAAAAGCAAACATATGTTAGACTCAATCCTACAAGATAAGCCAAGAACGAATCCGCGCGAAAGGAGACTGTAGAAAATCTAAGCTCGAGCTGAAGATAGTCTGTGTCGTGATTGAAGAGAATAATATGTTTTAAAATATACACAGGTGGAGGAAGTACACGATGAGGGGTTCGATGCTACTAGTTATAGCTCCATTCCATACGTCCCATTATATATACGTGCGGATGTATGTTGTCATAATAAAATCATAGGGGAATACGGAACTCATGGTTAATGGACAACTACCACATGCATAGAGGTGTGCGGATCCATATGAACATTTACACGAACGAATGAGCGGCCATTTACTTTTAGACGGAAAATGGCTTTGCTTGGTAAACTAGACTAGTAAGTGAATGAGGAGCAATTTTTTGTTTCAATCATGGTACACCCAGTAATTGCTTGCATGCAGACAAGTGGTTGAAATCACCTGCTTTCAGGTTTAGTATCGAGGACTTATTTTTATTAAAAACATAACCGGTTTAGGAAAAGCTATTTAAACATAGGTCAAGTCGACAAGGTCGTCACTTCAAATTGTGATGCTACGCGAACCTTGATATTTAGTAATTCATTCATAGAATTTTTTAGTTTAATTTTTCCGATATTGTCAATCTTTGTAAATGCAGGAAATAGTGTCCGCAAGGATCTCTTGCCAGGCAAAAAAAAATCGGGCAAAAATTGACATACATATTACTAAGCGAAATTATCTGTTCACAATGAAATTCGCGTGACGACATCGTCTCGAACACGAAAAATGAGTGCCCGTATCGGCCTTTTTACGGAAGGTCGAGAACCCCGTCCTATTTCTACTTTCTGCTAAGCGATGCGGGTGTGTGCAACTTAAATTGACTCGACTTCTTGGCTATTTGGAATTTTTATTGCTTCGTGTCTATAGCTTGCTAAGCCTGCCAAAAGTTGACCGAGACCAGGGACATTTCAGGCCACTACAGGCTACTGCTATGAGCATTTGACCTTCATCGTCATTTTTCTCACTACTGCTACTGCCACGGCGCCATTCTCTTTCTCCGGTGCTGTTTCATATCTTAACGTTTTGGCATCACGCCAGGCTGTATCTGCGGCAGTCCTGAAGACACTGCTTTCGTTTATACTCCAGACACACTAAGTGCAAGACACATAGGGGAAGGCTTACAAGTCTTGGCCAAAGTTTTGCCCCATTGCTGTCATGAACCAAAAATCCAGTCGCGTTGTTATTTTGTAGCTGGCGCGCCCTGGGTCGGGCACTCAGGTTGTTATTTTGACATTGCGACTTAGCGTGTCTGACCCATTTCGGGGTTTTTTATGGTCCAAAGAGTGAGTCAACGCTTCACTAAGCAAAGCTGAAAATCGGTAGCTATACCTTCCAGTACCCTTTTTACTGTTGTTTCTCTAGCATAAGGAGCAATCGTGGTAGTCGCAAACGCAGTAAGATCGCCTCTGTTGCCGCTATGTGACAGAAGCGGACCTTGGGGGTTGTCAAGCTAGACTAGGTTAAACCGAGTTGCTGGGAGTCCACGTGGGGGAAAAGGGTGGCGCCGGGGACAGCATAGGGGTAGTTGGTAGAGTAATCAGCCAGAAATGACGACGAAGCGAAGCGAAGCACATATCATCGCCTTTGAAATGGATATATTTCACATAGATGAATGTTCCTTCCGCACTCCACGTCAAGAGTCACGAGTTACGCGCTATGGCAGAAGTGGCAATGCCATTAGCAGCAGACGATGTCTCAGAAAAACCAACTGCAAGGCACTTTTTTACGGTGTACGACATCTTTGCTTCTACGATGCCACTGTTGACGCAGCCGCGACTAGGATCAGTGCCAGAGTTCATGTTACTACTACCAAGCGCTACTACAGAATAAGAAAAACAAATCCGTGGAGCTTTCGGCGTGGCCAGACGATGCAGTGGAAGCATTTTTAGGACCGTTAGCCTTCAAATTTTATCGGTTCAGCCTCCATACCTTGATCATCACCGTCGTCGGATTCGAGCGAAACGGCCGAAAACGGCAGAGTCCGATATTATTAAACTTCAAGATCAGCTTCAACTCGAATTTCGATATAATAGAGCTGCCGCGCGGCGAAGAAATGGACGCGCAATGACGATTGGATAGAATAAGCGGGCTAGCAAAGAGAGGGCAATTCTGCCCTTATTATTGTTGGCTTTAATGTTGTTGATGGGGTTGATGAAGTTTATGTTATTTGTAGTACTGGTGTTATTATTGTGTTTGTTGGGAACGACTAGCTGCATGATGATATAGTCACTCCTAGGAAGTGCTTGTACTCTTTCTGTTGGTGCCAATTTTCCAGCAGTATGCTTGTGCCGCTTGCTTAGAAAAAGAGCTACGATATGAGAAATAACACTTAAAAGCCACATCTCAACTCTAACAAAACTCACGCAAGAGATTAAAATTAGCTAGATGAGGATTATCAACATCCCTAGGTTTGCCCCTGGGTGGACTGCTAAGCAGTTTTTCGCTACTGCGCATTGACTCCGCCCTCAGTGACGAAATTGACTCACGACATCATTACGAGCTTTATAAAGTTAACTGCGTATATAACACTTTATGAACAAGTATGGCGCGGTCCAGCAAAGATAATGATTTTAAGCAAATTATTATGCTTTCCACCTCATGAGATCAATCATTCTGGAATTAAATTTTCTCAGGAGAGGAAGTGCCGAAAGAGCGCAGGGTAAAAAAGCGAATCTTTGCTGTCGTTCAAAAGCTGGGAGGTGCCTTTTATTGTTCGCCATCGCCAAGTCCTTAACGAAGCCTGGTCACCAGGCGGTAGCCAGACAACATACAGAGGGTTCTTTCGCTCAAAGAAGCGATTCAGCTCAAGGTCTCTTTTAGGGTCCAACGATGCCATCGAAGCGACTACCTGATCATAGAATTCTACAAATTTTCCCTGAGCTTTAATCTTCCAGCTGTCTGTTCATAGACCGGAAGACCAAGCGGTGGGTGGATATATAATTACAATATATATAATGACGTTAGCAAAACTATTTATTGCTAATTGTCATGATAAGTTGTAAGTCTACATAGACTATACGATGTTACACCTGCAATAGTTAAGAGGCCAGGCTGGCGTTTTTCCTAAGGGACGTCAGGCACCTCGTATGGTTACAAGAAATGTGCTGTGCCATTTGCAGATGAAGCTTTCCAACGCTGCCAGAAGTACTATACTGAAGGCGTGGTTCCGAAAACCTCTTTTTCCGGTATGAATATCCAGAGACGTTAAAAATGAAAATAAAATGCTACAAAACAAGTACTTGGAAATCAAGTATTAATACGAGACGAACGTGTCGATCCTAACCAACATTAACGTTATCAACGGGCACTGTCGAGCATAGAGCAGGTGATGATGGGCATCACCTATTAATTTTTGACGTCTTTCGCTATCACAAGTCTCTGGAATCACCTCTTTGGCTTAGAATTAAAGGCCTAACTCTACTAGAAAATCTAGCCGGAGTGGATCCTTATCAGGGGCTTAGTCCAACAGATAAAGCCCCATCGATCCAGCCCATGTATGCTCGTGGGTCGTGACACTATGCAATTACTGGCTTATCGCCAAGTGGCAAATGTGCTTTAAGCTTAAAAGAAAGTTGCGGTTGTAAATGATTGAAGAGAATTTTATAGCTAAAAAGAAACTACGCTTTCAAGCCTTTAGAACTTTTACGATTACGAAGCTGGATCCGCCAAGTTGAGCCAAACAACTTTATCATTATTTAAAGCTATACTTTTCTATACACATAGTCCCAGTGATGGCCCCCACATGCTCATCAGCTGCATCAATATAGCAAAGGTATAGTTGTACATACACTCATCCATATAAATAATCTGCCCATGGTTGTGCTTTACTTACGCGGGTTTTAATGTAATTAGCATTGTTTCGGTTCAAATCAAATTGTAGCTTTCCATACGATATGATTACATGCCAATTACCAATACGTTATACAGTACAATGTGGCATTAAACTTATTTCTACAGTCAAGCACGCGGTAGTACCCCTAAAATCTAACCCGTCGTAGCTTCTTATTTAATTAGGCATCGCAACTGTTACGGCCAATCGTCGTTGCCAGACAAATAGTCAGTGGAAAATGATGTGCGAGCCGTGAGTGAGTGACAAACGCCTGGAAATTTCGGTTTAGCTGAGAGAAGCTCGCTGCATACCCGTCAGCATTCGAACCGCCTGCTATAGAAAGAGGGTAACCGACGCGATTGGTGTTCTTTACCTACCTAACTACTCGGCGGCGTATTGCTGAATGGCTGTGTGACGCTGGCGTCTGCGAAGGGAGGAAGATATAATGCACCGGATGACGAAGACCGGACATTGCGGAAAGACGATGTCAGCTGATGCTACCAGTTGCAAACATGGCCTCTGTCTAAACCAACAGCACAGCCCCTTATAGAATGGCGACTGTTCACAAATTCGCAGCTGTGCTCGTTTCGTTCATTTTGGAGCGGGGGAAGAAGAGCAGTCTCGACATGGCGTATTTCGTACAGGAGTATGATCAGTAAATAGCATGCCCCTGGTTTAGAACTATTGGCCTTATAAAGTTTGTTGTTTTTCGTGATCCAGAGTCAGGCGTGTTGAAGTATGGCTAGTAGGATCAAATGTTGGCCTGAACTTCTTTGTTAAACTGTGCTTTTTACATATTGTCGATAACAGGTTTGTACAATTGAAAAAAATGACTGTATCTAGCATTCTGCATGGTCACTGAATATAGGTAAAAAGCTATAGATTATTCAGCTCTAAATGACCCGAAAGCGACTTACGAAGCTATAGATGTAACGAGGTAAGTGCTGAGTTTTCGCTAATCGATGACAGATAGAAACCCTATCAATGGCAGCGATTGTTCTTCCCACCGAACTTCTATAGCCTTTTATTACTCATTTTCCAGTAGCTGAACCCTCTTTCTTTCTTTTGTTCCAAATTCTTATCAAATCTCTCGGCATCTAATTAAATATTTTCCCTTTACTCCTCTCTTTTTTTTCTCTTTTGTAGGTTGAGAACAGATCTCCACCGACACCCAACAGCGTAGACAGACCAAGATTGTTATATGGAAAAATTTCTATGCAAATCGGAAAAAAAAACATTCGAAAAGCGACTACATGGCAAAGAAGCGCGGTCTATCTTTAATGCTCGATTGCGGTAATGCCTCAGGAGTAGTAGCTTCACAGCCGGAACACCTCTAATTAACGTTGTATCCATATATATATATGTTTGGCCGGACTGGAGGAAGGGCCTCTTTTTGTGCCACTCTTAGCATAAAGTATGAGGAAAAGAGTTCGAGTGGGAATTTCTACAGGCCTGGAAAAGATCGATCGAGGCGAGGTCTGTACACGACTGTAGGTTTGAGAAAAAAAATCGATTAGGTGTTTACACTTTGCGGCTAGAAGGCGAATAAGGCCCACGAGAAGGCGGGATGAAAGAACTAGGTAATCCTGCAGATAGGACCGAATAATGAATACATTTCTGTGCAATTGACACAGTTACCTTAGATTGCAGTTGAATGCAAACGTAGTGAATCATGCAATTAAGCGAGACTTTATAGCAATACTCGAGCATGAAAGCTCGAAATGTCTACTTCATTTTAACATCCGGGCGTGGGTACAATGAAGGCTTACTCTTTCTCATTTGTTCTGTATTACCAGTCGACGGTTCTAAGTGAAATACCTTTAACCAAGAAAGATGCTTTTTTTTTTGATAAAAGTTGAACACCTGTCCTGATTTCATCGCATTTTATGATAGCTATAGTATTGGTAATTTTAAAATGCGTATATGATATAGTCGCATACAAAACGTCTACAAGTAGTACATAACACACTACTATGTAAAAACTTAACGTGATACCAGGATTCTATGCTAAGAGTCTTTAACAAAAAAAAAAAGTAAATACGTAAAAAAAACACACTAATTTTTAATGCGCGAATCACTCACCCGGCCAATAATGTAGAGGTTCTGCGGATCCACCAGCGACGTATCATTCAAGCTAAGGTTCGTGCCTACCACCAATATGACCCCACTGAGCTGGGCATCCGGCCTATAATCCCATTCTATGTTTGTTGTATTCTCCTCGAGATCGTACTGATACTTGACGTCTTCAACGACCTCTTGTGTTTCCAGCGGGCCGACAGGATGGTTATCATCCAGCTCGTTGTCGCTTTCATGAAAGCGGCACGAGGTCTGGCAACCCTCAAGCTAGCCATGGTCCAACCGCGAGATCCATCCAACATCCGTGCCATGCCCAACCAAATAACGACGTGTGCCCAAACGCATGACATGTAACGTGACCATGAACCGGGATACGCGACTCCGACGAGTGATCGCGGCCAGTGACATTAAGATTTATGCCCAGACCGGACAGAATCCAACACAACCGCCGTTCACGAAGTCATATTAAGGGTCGACAACAACGACGACGAAGGCGAGAAGATGATAGCGGCCGATTTAGATGGTGGGGCCAGATGAAACGACGAGACCGTCATTTGCGATGGTCGCAGCAGAATCGAAAAAGCACCGTCGAACGAAGTAATGTTACGACACGAGTAACCGCATTCCCGAAGTCAGTCGTCGACAGTGAAGGAACGATACCGAAAACGCAGAAAAAAAGAATACAGAAAGCAAACGTCAGTTAGATAGAGGAAAAGGCTAACAAAACAAGAAAAACGTTGTCCTTTAACCAACTTAGTGAACTGACGATTTATAGAGGAAAATACGAAAGGCACTAGAACAATCAGAGGAATACGTCACAGCGATGCCTCATTGCGATCTCAAGCAGCGGTGACAAGTTGTTGCGCTTCAGTGGAACCGGCCGCGGTATCGACTTTGGCCTTCACAAAGTCGCATGGCATTTTCATAACGGGAGGGCTCGTGATAGATACAACAGAAACTAGCAGAATCAGTACTAAGAATGTCAGCGGTGGTCCGTGAGCGAACGCGATTTCAATTTATCTAGGAAAATGGCAAAAGATATTCGATAGTTTGAAAGGCTATGCGACAGTCTGAGAGTTTTCGTTTTACAACTGCTTAAATAGCAAAAAAAAAAAAAAAAATATAAGATCCATAAGAGTAAAGAAATTGCCAAACATCTTCGAACTACCAAGTAAGCTTGTAAAACTTAAAACGACTTTCGTCGAACCAAAAAGGGTTGTCACACACCAGTAATAGTATATGACTTATTTGCTATACAGAGTGTTCAATGCCACTAGCGTGCAATGCTAATTATGGCAGAGTCATAATTAGCATAGCATTGCACAAAAGGAAGATCGACTCGTCACTGACAGCGAAGTTGTGGGGTTGAAAAGGAAAGAAGAAGTGCGTTACCGTCCTCAGCTGAATATGGGGAATGAGCTTCGAATTATCGCTATCGTTGTCACTGAGAACCTTGGCTAATTAAAGGACGCTCTCTGTTCGCTCACGGTCATAGATAGTGACAACAACCTTCGTAGGACTGGAAAGAGCTATAATCATAGTGAATGAACTAGCATTAGATAGATATATTTTCGTAACTTAGCCAGTACGTAGATCGAAGTAAACTAACATCTGCTAGGTGCATAGATTACGTAATAAAAACTATCTTATTGTGAAAAATGTAAGTTGTATCGGTAATAATTAATATGATACTCAACCGTCGAAACGTACAATTCCTTGACGGCATTATATAACTATAATATTATCAGACTCTTCACTGTCGCATACAAATGATGTATGCATTTGGTCACGACCATATAAAGAATCAATACCATACATATATAATTAACTTTAGAGAATCTATTCTATAATACAGCGGGTCTCTCATTATCCTTATACCAGGCGGACACAGTTTATTTTGTGCCATAACGAGTGACCATATATCCTTTGGTGTTGACCTCAGCGGGGGGACAATTTCAATTGTTAAGCTAACACAGTGGTGACCGGGTAACGGGTAAATCGAGGCCAGCGAAAAAATTATTGCTGTACTGTATAGACATGAGGACCGATTGGCCTATACTGATTACCTCTGACTACTGCCATCGGCTAGCGAATTAGTTTAGGAGACCTTTAATGGCGTCTGAGGATTCGAAGAGCTTTACCTCGAGCGATATCTGGTCGTAGTCGGCCTGATTTGGCTTGCCGTGCATAATAATACAGGCTGTGCTGAAAAGTGCTATAGGTAGAGCCACGACGGAAAAGCGCCGACGGCTGCAGGCGATGTGATGCCACTAGCGTTTGACTTGGCAGAACTCCAGCTGGCCAGGCTCGCTTAGTCGATAAGGATCAAGCCGATGGAGGGAGGGAAGGACCAGCCAGTGTCTACTGGCACAATGCCACCTCATCTTCCATCGTTTCCCTTTGGTCCTGTTCTCCTTAGGCTCGAAGGAAGAACAAGACGGTCCAACCTGACTCAGCGCAGCAGAAACATAACGCGGGGGGTTCGACTAGGTCCGACTCTCTAGTCAAGGCCTGCGTCTGGAGTCTTGGAGGCGCTCGGGCTTGTTCCCATCTATCCCGCTGCAGCTTTTTTGTACTGACATTTGCTCTTCTACCCAGACTGAATAAGCGATGAGTCCTTGATTTTTGGCGTCGAGTACGAGCTCTTGAAAGCCAGTCGAAAAGAGACTCTGAATTTTCCTCGATTACGAGTAATGGGGCTACCCTGTCAGCAGACTCGCTGCGCTCCTTCCAATTCAGTCTTCGGTCCCCTCTAAGGTTTTTAGTTCATACCACGTGAGTGACCAGCGCTTGGTGTTGTTACCAATTAAGCTGTATTTTTTACAGTGACATACAAAAAACAGTCAGAGCTATAAATAGGGAACATACGAGTCACGTCAGCTTGCTTTCTACAGAGAAACGTGTAATGGTGCCGTCTCTAAAATGACATACATCGGGTGGGAAACTGGAGGAGCAACATATGAAATCAAATAAAAAGAACCGGGTATTGATAGACTACACCCTATATAATGAAAAGTGTATTGAGACCGTTACAGAGAAATTCTGTTAACCGTAGACGAGTATAAAACACAGATTTTCTTTATGGGACACAGACATTCGAAACGACAAGGAAAAACATTCGGAATCGAAGATTCATTGATTTGTCAGAAAATTCTAGAAGACATAGCAAGTAGCGAATATGTACACACAGGCAACATATTCGCAAAAAAAAAAATATTTTTTTATAGTTAGACGTTCCCTTTCAGTATGCATATATTTGCATTATTTCAGAGCTCCTCTACTTGTAACATAAAACTTTCTTTACGCCTGTTCAAATGTTTCTAGTGTGACATTTTTTCCGGGTAGTTGAAACAGTAGTTCCGGGAGGTCAAGGGGTATTTGATAAGTAAAGACGTGTCGAAGTATATTAGACAAATAGTACGAGCAATAGCATAAATCTCATGTCCATCAAAGGTAGCTTCAGCAAACGACTCTAGAGTAGTACGGTAACACTTTTAGTAGAAACAGAACCAGAAAGTGCTCGTTGAGGGTGTACACTTATTTTTGCTTGATATATCTATGCACATATTGGGTAGTCTAGGTCCGAAGCCGAGCATGGACATATCTTGTTTTTCCTAAGAGGGGGGTCGTCCTGACGTACGTATTACAAAGCAGTAGTTTGCTTGATTATGCTCCATACTTCACTCGGTTGTCACAGTAATACTGGCAATACGAGTTGCATACATTAAACAACGATTTGTTTTTATGGCTTTATAATAAGATATAATAAATAAATCGATGTTCACATACTGAATAGTTATAGTTAATTATATGCTTCGTCATTTGCACATTGTGACTATGTTGCAATTTTTGCTTAACTTTCCCTTTGCACTTTGTTTATTTTTCTTCCCTTTGATCTTTCGCATCCGTTCCATAAAGCTAAACTCAAGGCCGGTTTTTGTCCATTCAGGCAGGCCCAAGCACTTTATTTGCTTTTTTTTATATTCAGTCTAGAACCAAATGTAACCTGGCTCCGCCGTCAGTCTCGCAGAATTTTAGAATCAATATGAAATGAACTACAAAGGCAGGGGGCTACTTCGATGCACCAGTTACCTTGGTTACCAACTTAATGATTGGCACCGTGCTTGCGGTCACGTTACTGATTCTTCGCTATGATAACATATAGAAAAATATGACGCCCCTATATATTGATGCCCGGGCAAACTTGCCCATACACCTGTGAATCTCCACACCCATAGCAAAGATACGAAAATCACTTGGAACATCCTAGAATACGCGCGCTGGGTGTATTGCGTCCGCCTCGCGCGTAGTTAAGATGTCGGTCCTAGGCAACGAATCGTTGGGAGTGGTGGAGAATGCGAGCCTGACCCACTGAGTTGGCATTGCGGTTTGAACATGTTGCAACCAACGTGACGCTATTAGGCAGAGGAAAGTATAGGCTGTAACTGCACAAAAATTTTCTAACACCTCGACGAAAGGTCAGGGAGCCTACGTGAGCAAAGAGTTCAGAATGGGAACAAATCAATGTAGACGGGTGGATTGTATTTTCGAATACGGAATAATTAATCTGACAATTAATGATTTTGAATATAATGGTACAGGATAGCGATATAATAGGGTAGAATAATCGTTGAATTGAAATTCGGGCCCATAACCTTAAAGTGGTTATGGGCCAATAAGCGGATCGCAACACAAGCCCTAGTCAACTATCCATAATAACTACGACGTTGGACCATCTTATTGGTGCAATTAGTACGGTTTACTACGGGAGTACATAACACATAGAAGCTTCAATAAAATCTAGCTTGATTTGTAATATGGCTGGCATGACCCAACCATCGATATCTTATCCAAACTGTTTTTGACTCTATTAATGCATACTATTTTATTTAACGGAAATTACCTTAGGTCTATACTTACGCAAATCTCTCGGCCCTTAGGGCTACACATGACAGACCACGCTTCGACACTTTGATGGAATAGTTTGCACCCGAACCAGCACTGTAATAGGAAAACGATATTAAATTATTTATCTTAATTCAAAAGAGTGGTTTTGTTTATTTATTTACAAGATCCGTGTGTCTGTGTGTGTGTGTTTCTATAACTTGCAAGATGTGTTTCATACAGATTTTATTATGCACTGAAATTATCGGTCACTACAGCCTGAAGGCTCCGTCTGCTTCGTCCACATACATATATGGTAGAACAGAAACCTTAAAAAATAAATATAGTACATTTACATACAGCATACATACATATATATTGTGTGTATAAACGCTGTGCGGGTTTAAACTGTCAAGGCGGTGTTGCCTTACATCCTGTACACTAATAATACAAGAACTCGACTGCCAGAAATAGCCTATGCGTTTTGTTTTGTTGAATTTATCCAGTAACTTATTCCTATATGCACCTATAGTTTCTTTTTTTTTTTTTTTTTTTTTTTTTTTTACTACACGTTTATGCCTTACGTTGCAATGTATTTATTGACTTGGCTTGTTCGTTGAGGGAACATTATGAGTTAGTAAGAGAAAACACAGACAGCTCACTAACAACCTATATACGCGCAGGCTACTAACAGCTCACGTTGGCCATTTTGGAAGTAACCATACAATAAATACATAGATTGGTTTGTCACCTGCCAGGCAATAGTTCTAGTTGTTCTCTATTTAGCAAATGGTCGCTTCAGACTTATGTAACGAACAAGCTCCTCACAGATATCTTTTTAAAGCTCCGTTCCAAGTGGTTCAATGAAGATCTATTTGAAGCCAAATTTAAGCCTGTCCAAGGTTGTGCACAGTTACACGAAAAACAGAGGTATCGTTGATTGGTTAGTCTTATGTTTGGCATCTACTATTACGAAAACGTTCTATAAAAATACGTCGGCTTTTGCGTCCGGAATTAAGGCAGACAGCTAGTAGAAGTGCGCAACAATCATGTTTGCTGCCTACTTCTAACATGATATCTATATCTGTTTCTAACTTTTCTAGGCGGATACGGAACTATTACGCGGGTAACAGCATCGACTCGGTATGAAGTCCAAGAATACCGACATCTTGTCCGTATTCCTGCTCCGGAAAAGGGAAAACGTTTTTTTCAGTTAGTAATACTATTGCTACTATTGTTAAATCAATGCAGGTGTATAGGGGCAACATTCGGTATATTACAGTCGCCTATTGCTTTGGACATGGTAATTGTTCATCTTCCCTTTTCTTCTTTCGCCCGCTTTTCTGCTCAGCATTGAAAAATAACCACTACATTTCTCTAGCCAGACTGTATTACGCCTGCTACACATTAATATAATTTTTCGAATAAAAAGTTCCGCGCTGCTATTGGAACATCTAGCTATTTTTTCCTTTCTCTTACTCGCTTTCGTGTATACAGCTTTAAAGGCGATATGCTGAAATATCCGCGCCGGACTGGATTGCACGAGTTTTGTGCGAATCAGAAGACATTTCATCAGAAAATATGATTTGTTCTGAATTCTGTCGACCACGAAGGGAAGATTTTTTTTTTGTTGGAAGAACAAACGCCAGTACACACTTATTCCCGTTTTTACTAACTGAGTAGTCCCACCCGAAAATAGGTAGCTAATCTACACGAACATTTTCAGTGACTGATAGAAAATAGGGAACCACGTAGTCACAACCTGTTCCTCGTGTTACTCGAGTACAGGACTTTTAACAATACGAGCCAAAAGTTCTTACTACGTAGTGGATGTGTGTGCGTCGTATTATGAGCCAAATGAAGCTTAATTTTTTCCAAGTTCACCCCACAAGAGGACAAATTTTAGCGCGTGTTGCAAATTCGGGTTATTTAGAAGGTCAACAATTTCTGGCAAAGAAGGCACCCTGCCACAAAAAAGTACGGCATTAAATCGAACTGCCACTAAAAAAAGGGGTTCCCGTCACCATCACGTGTCTCCGGACAGTATCAGATAGACATTAAGCACGCTAGAGCTAGCCTGGTGGTAGAATCCACTAGAGCAAATGCTGACGACACAAAAGATTCGTGCCAATCGCAGGGGTGGTTATAGCGAAGGCGTTACGACTTCTTTGCACAACAACGGACAAAATTAAGGTCACTTTTTTAAAGCGCATCGTCCTTCCTGCTGCCACTACTGTTCCCGCCAATAGCACCGACCGATTGGATCGAAAAACTCGTGTCGTCATAGAACATCAGGCGTGAAAAAACAGATCATCAAAACCTAGTTTCGCAAAATAGGGGTTATTGGTTGTTGGGCAACAGGGTATGCCCCAGGATCCAACAAGAACCGGTTGTGGAACACTAGTCGAAATGCAGTCAGAGCTTCTTGGAAATATCGAGGGTTGCATAAATCAAGCCAATCTTCTTCAATAGGTATTTATACCAGCATTTGTGGCGCGTTCGTCATCTCAGCGGATGCATGCGTCCTGCAATATGGCCATGAGATGAATAGGGAAACGCAATCCCTTGCTCCGCAATAAAAATAGACGAACGACGAGTTCTGATTGGTTGGACTGATCTTATGGAGAGAATAGGGGGAGATTATTTTGTGGTGTATAGCGAAGTATTCAAGAGATAGATTTCCGATTGAGTTATGAGTTTATCATTTAAATAAGTTGTAGTTAAAGATGTTTCTGATTTTTTATATTTCTCTTCCAGCTTTATAACTGCTCAATGCAATATACACCTTTGTCAGTCTGACAAAGCTCAAATACTGGAATAGGTTCAGCATAACAATGGTCCAAAAAAGGCGGTCGCGCTTTTTACTTCATTAGGCTTATTAAAAAAAGTTTATTAGCTCACTTCTCCAATCATACTAACCGAACTCAAGTAGTATCTTTGGAAAACCAAGCAATAAGCAGAATTAATTGGTCTATAACTGTGAATCCTGCATAGAAGTTTCGTTACCTGGAAAAGGAATCCGTTCTAGACGATCGTCTATGGGAATGCCTATCTCACAAACAAAATAAATCAAATTGTAAGATAGTAACCCAAGTTATATTACGACACACACAACGGTAAACGGCGATTCATTTATCTTCGGTTCTATCTGTCTATGGCTTCTGGCTGTTTGCGTTGTGTGTGCCAAAACGATGTGCTGCTTTCGGGGTTCGTATCGCCTCCGCCCTTCTAGCTTCGCCCTTTTTTCGCATATTATACTCCACTTTAACAGCGTTGGAGCATCACCAGATCACAGATGGCTTTGCTTGACGTGCATAATTTTTTTTACCAGCCGTGACACCATCGTCACACATAGTAGCGGTATAGCGACGGGCGTCAAAGCGCTGTCGTGACCAGTACGGGAATTAATTCCTCATTTCCATACTGCCCCCTTCAACACCATCTACCGGCTTCGTTCTTGGCGATATTTCTTCGTGCTGGCGAAAGGCGAGCGACACTTCCGACGTGTGTGGGGCAGCCTCATCAGTGTGTACACATACGTTGAGACACAGAACGACCCATAAAGGCGCATCCACGCTCAAGTTTGCGATTAGCCAACCAGACGGCACAGCGCAACCTACTCAACTCGCGGTAGTTGGCAAACCTCTATCGTACCTTGGCTAGTTCAGCTTATGCCCAAATCTTCCCGACCATGTCGTCGTCATTTAAACCTGTAGACCGCATCTTCTTTCCAGCAGGCCGCGTACACACCGCTGAACAGCTTGACAGCCTCTGCTGCTGGCTGGATGTCAGCAGTTAAAATCTAAAGGCTTTCTTGCTTGGCATCTTCCGATATGTTTCGCTTCACTAATTTTCAGCTCTTATTACGGCAATAGTGGTAGCGGACGCCACTGCTCATGTTGCAATCCTCAAGCGTCCCGCCAAAACCGTATGACAGCGATGATGTCGAGCGACGGAATAAGTAATGAAATGAGTTTTGGGCTGATGAGGGGCTCTGAAGGCTAGATAGTGGCCAAGCCCAAAATCCTAGAATGCGCGCCATTCCCTGGAGTCTTAAACACAGAACCGCTCACCGCTGCTGGTGCAGACGACGTCAACGCGTACAGCGAGGATGCCTTAGTCGACGAAATACATCAACATAGAAAAAGTACGGGGCTTAAATGTTTAGATGACAACCTCGGCAGTGATGTCGTTAGAGCCGCCGTTAATGCCCCGGCGGCGACTGCTCGTAAGGCTGCTAAGCAATTACTTATAACAGCAGCAGACAAATGATTCTTTCGAACCGTTAGGAGTACCTACAGAGATGGATTTATAAAAACAAGAAGTAATGCTGGAGGTTAAGAGATAAGGGGTAGTCCTTGAAGCACTGAAAGAAAAAGGGACCTTATGAATAACAAGCACCAGATGAAAAAGGCGTTTGCATCAGCAGCGGTTATATGTTAGAGAAGGCGACGCTTGCCTAAAACGGTCGGTACAAGTGTGTAGGAGTTTTCTGTTGCGAAATTTGCAAAAACTTGATAAAAAAAGTGGCTAGAGTTTTTGGAGAAATAAATGCACGCCAGGCGCATACTCTAACTAAGCTAAGTCTTCGTGGTGTCCTAACCGATGCTAAAGGACCAAGAATTTTATCGTCCACGAGTACAAAAAACAGCCGTCGACGACAAAGAATCTCCGCTAGCCTACATAATACATGGGTCAAGGCAGAGAAAGCGGAAACACAAGACTGAACGAAGGGGGTACAGCGACAAGGACATGTAAGTGCGTCCCTCAGGCTTAATGGTTCGATAACGACAATTTACACAACTGCTATTTTTGAGATTGCGAACTATAGTAATCTGTAACACTGTAATCTATAGAAATGTGGCACGGCCTTTCACCAGCTGGCCTGTGGAGTTAAGGACAGGTAAAAGATTCGAAGTCAGAAAATATTCAGCGCTGATGAAACCCAGAAAGAATGAGGAGGTAACATTAGCGTCGCCTTATACAATACCCTTTGATCGGTTATAGTCGTCGATAGCGGTGTTAGTTCAGTTGGGTTTTTAGCTGAAAGAGCTTCGAAATCTCGGGTAATCTTGTATGCTGGCATGCAGACAAACGAACAAAGTAGCCTTGGCGCG